ATTTTGAGGCTCTATATAAAATATTGTAAAGGTTTCAAAGATTTAGTTGCTGTCCTACAAAAACTATTTTTGTTTGTTTACAGATTAAGAAACTAAAGTTTGACCTTTTGAGCTTTAGGATATAAAATATAATTGCTCATTTTATCCTATGAGACATCCCATATGGAAAAGAAATAGTAAAACCTTATAAAAGACTTGCATAAGATGTGGCCCACTTCATATAGTGATTCATATAAGACTTATATGATTTACTCATGAAAGTGGCCACTTTCTCATTACTTTTATATATTGTTATAGTAAGTATCCAAAACATACAAGTTTCATTTATATAATTTTTCAAGGGATCTTATATCTGTTTTCAAACTTGTATGCTTTTCATACAAGTTTCACACAAGACAGATACAAACTTTATAAGATTTATATATATCTTTTCCATATGGGATTTGTGTGAAATAATTAGCATGTAAATTCCTGAGTTCTAGATAAAGTCTTGACCCTTGACCTTATACCACCAAATTGTAATAGGTTTTTGCCTAAATTCAATTTGGAGGTTTGTGCTTTTTAAATTCACTTAATGTTTTTAAGACATAGCTTCCTCACAATGAGCAGACCCAAAGCTCATAAACACAATGCATCTGTGTCAGTGATAAATACTGTCATGCATCTGGATTGCAGCTCAAGCGCCATGTTGTTGAGTCACTACTGCTAAATATTGGCAGATTTGATCTTGTCATTAATTTTGACCATTTTGGATAAGCACCAGGTTATTATATACCTAAAATAAAACAGAACATATCTGCACTCTTTATTTTTGTCTGCAGCTTGCTTTCCACCCTGCACAGCATCTCTGTGGAACAAGCATCCTGTTGTGTGGGTTGTTTTTGAGCAACATTGCCTGTTTGAATTAGTCAAGGAATTAATGTGGTGATCATGTGATTGCTGAGTAGCATCATTGTTATGATGCTGTTGTGTTGTTGTTTAGGACACCATTGTTGCTGCATTGTGAGCATACACCTCATCCATTTACATACCCATGTATGGCTCTTGTATTTGTGCCCATGTTATGTACAAGCATGAGTTACGCTTCAAATCTAAAAACTTATAACCCGAAACCCCAGGGGTGTTCCTCCTCTAGCTCAGTAGGTAGAGCAGCTCATCTATTAATTGGAGGGTTGGTGGTTCAATCCCTGGCTGCTCCAGTGTCATCCACAGTCTGAATGTGTGTGAATGTTGGATAAAAGCATGAAAAATCAAAGTGCTTGTCTGCTGTCTAAATAGCGAATCTGTAAAGCACTTTGAGTGCTCAGGTAGAGTAGAAAAGTGCTATATAAGAACCAGTCCATTTACCATTTCCGATCTTAACCCGAGGCTGTAACCTTCCAGTCTGCGTCGATCCAACATGTAGTTACGTTTCTCTAGAGGTGCACAAACTGTTACTGCTTAAGTTGCAACCTAGATTTCCCGCTGAATCATAATTCGGGCATAAGTAAAGCAACTAACCACTGACTACAATAACACCCAGGATGTCTTCTGTCCTCAGGAATGAAGACCTTAAAGAGATGTTGGAGAGCAACAAGGAGTCGCTCAAACTGGAGGCCATGAAGAGAATTGTTGGGGTGAGTGCATCACGGGAATCCACTAAAGCATTTCTTTTAAGTAACTGAGCTGTTTTGTGCTGGTAATAAAATGTTTTACTATTTCTTTCTTCTTCTTTTTTTCTCCAGCTCATTGCCAAGGGCAAAAGTGCCTCTGAGTTGTTTCCTGCTGTGGTGAAGAATGTTGCGAGTAAAAATATTGAGGTATGACACGATTGAGAAATAACGCGCACTACTTCATTTATTTTAATGCAGTTCACTGTTATGATTCATTTCATTCTCACGCAACGCAGCACGTGGTTTCCCAAAGCATGACGCCCAAAGGGGGAACTTACAGAACAATAGTTAGATCCACCGAGAATCTTTTTCTTGCTTTAGACGCATGCATGTGCTTGAACATTTAAAGTTAGTGGTTCTACAGAAAGCAAAGCAAGGAAACAGGAAATGGTCGCAGCAGATTGAGATAATATTGTTAAATAGACTCTGTGTAAGAATACAGTCTGTGTTATGGAAATAAATACCTAATACATCTTTTCACTTGTAAGAAAATGCACCTCTTTGTTAGGTGTATTACATTTCAAGCAAGTTCACAAAGTTGCTCTGACTTCTGTGTCTTAGACTGCAAAGTATGATAAAACAGCAGTATTATTATGCAGAGCTAATTAAAATTAGATTATTTCTCAGCCCTACTTGGAGCCATAAATTGGTACAGCAGTAGCAACAGCATAAATATTCTGTAAAGCTGCTGTGAGCTTGCGCCAACATGCCACTGAATCCTGCGAGCCTTGGAAAAACTCAACCACCGCCTATTCCAGTGAATGACCGAACATTAAGCAGCAGCTCAAGAGGCGCTCCCATGCCCAGAGCCTGTGAATATTGATTAGCAGCAGCAGAATAATCAGGTAGCATGAGAGGCAGCATGTAAGCCGGCGCGGTGGGGTGTGGAGGGGGGTCCAGCCAGGCCAGGCGCTGTGTGCGAGGCATGCAGCCGAACCAGCTCGTGGCAGGGGTATGGGAGCAGGTGGGTGGATGTAATTGGGGGAAGAGAGCTCCGAGTCACATCTTCTCTCTCCTGCCTCATACACACCAGCTGCTAAGGTAGTGTGAGGTCTTGGTCTGTGCTTTCTCTCTCTTCTCAGTTTCTGCTCAGCTACAGTATGTCGTGCTAAAAATGGCCTCTTATTTCGCTCCCGCCGTCATCCCTTCTACTTCGCGTCATCTCGAGCTGCCCATGAGCCCCAACAATTAGAGCGTGAGCGTAACTGCACAAGAACATGCAGTTTTTTGATAGCATTTCGTGGCTTAATGTTGGTGCTCTTTGTTTTATTTACTGAATTTTACACTGAAATTCAGGGAAAAAATAAAATAACACCAGATGGAGCAAGTTTCACCTGTAGTGCACGTAATTGCCTATTTAGCAGTTCAAAACGAAGTCCGTTGCATGCTCTGTGGTCACACAAACCCGATCCTTGAGGGCAGATGGGTTTTGTCTCCTTTTTTTTATAGTGAGTAATGCCATTACTTCCAGCAGTAATGGCCTCAATGATGATTGAGAACTGTGCTGTGAAACCACAGGTCAATACTCGTTGCATTAGAAAGCATGGTGCTGATTACTAGCTAAAGCGCTTGGTGATTTGTACCTAAAATGTAACCTTAGTCCTGACCTCCAGCTTAAATCAGGTTATAAATTAAAAATAGTTCCTTAGGTAAATCATTTTTCATAACCCTTTCCTCCCAGTTTCATGGTCTCCAACTCAACAGGCTCATAGGAAGAAAATTAGCTCCGTCTATTCTCTCTCGGAATAGCTGATGTGAATCAGCTGGCAAAGCACCTTTGACCTCTAGTTAAACTTGTCAGAATCCAGGACAAATATTATCTCAGGCTTTCCGGTGAGCAAAGAATAGGTGAGGGAGCCAAAGCACAAGACTCGGGAGGGAAATATAAACACATAATACAGCTCCTCTGTCTGAAACCGTTCTCTATTGAGAGTGCAGGTTTTGAAATTAAAACAGGAAAGCTTTCCACCTCCATCGACCCGCCCCCAACCGCCAACCCCCAGTTTTTTAAAATAATAAACTCAAATTTTTCCCTTAGAAAAATCAACGTAAAGGAAGCCGATTTTTGTATTGTGCTATATTTTGTACTCTTCTTGTCTGTAAAAAAACAAAACAGTGTGTCCTCACACAAACCTGCTTAAATTTTCCAACACAGCTGGTTTGCTCGATTAGTTTCATGTCTGCTGCAGTGGTTTTTCTTTTATAGCCGTTTCGTTTTATTGCTGTTTTTGATGTCATTGTTCTTCGCAGCTCAAGAAGCTTGTGTACGTGTATCTGGTGAGGTATGCAGAGAAGCAGCAGGACTTGGCATTGCTGTCTATTAGCACATTCCAGCGGGCCCTTAAGGTAACATTCAGTCTCTCTGGATGCGGATAGATGAATGTGTTGATGATCAGAGGATGATAAATGTCTCACTTCTCCCTGCCTCTTGGTGCTGGGAGGCACTGTTTTTGTTGTAGCACACTGTCTCGCTGACAATTTGTTTCTGTGCCAGGACCCAAACCAGTTCATCCGAGCTAGTGCTCTGAGGGTTTTGTCCAGTATCCGTGTCCCCATTATTGTCCCCATTATGATGCTGGCCATCAAGGAGGCTGCAGCTGACCTGTCCCCATATGTGAGGAAGACTTCAGCACATGCGATCCAAAAGCTGTACAGGTAAAGGCATCAATGGATAAAGCCGCTGCACTTGTAAGTTTTACTGGCTCGTCTTACTGCCTCAACAGTGAACTGAGCAGTTAATGCAGTGAAGGTTGGGCAATGTTGGCATAAGGGGCTTTGCCCCGCTTTTATCGCTCTCTTATCTTAGTAGTAGGTGCATGTTTGATGATCAGTGATGGTTCTTTAGAAAACCTGGCACAGTTTTGCTATTTATCTGCACTGCTTCTATCAGATTCTTGAAATTCCTTCATGCTCTATATACCGTAGACCTCTTATGCTTTCCCTTATGTTCTGTTCTATATTGTAGAGAAAAAGGCTTTGTGAGTTTATTCCAGTGTACACATAGAAAACAGAAACCGCCCTTACAAAGTGATACGTTTGGGGTAATAAGTTTACTGTGAGCTGTAGAAGTCCATACATTTGGAATAAGCTTCAACACATTTTTAAAATGCCTGTCTTCAAACAAAAAACACCTCTAAAATAATTGTTGCTACTTGATTTTGAAGCCTGTATGGCATGGATCTGTCAAAACTTTGCTCTACATGAGGCTTATCCTGTCGTTTTCATGTGCCACTGTCTAGATGTATTGGATTTTTAAAAATGTTTTTATTTTATGATTCCTACGGCAATCTTAGGATATTTAGTGATTCTTTTTGGTATGATAATGTACATTTGGAATTGTGTATATATATTTGCTGTTTGTTACCTGATTTTATGCAACTTAAAAGCTTTGGGGAAGCCTGTTTCACAAAGAACTATCTTATGTTCAGTTTGGAATTTGTATTTTAATTGATTTTTTTTAATAAAATGAATGAAAACTGAATATAGGTTTACATACTACTACTCATATTAAACATGGCATGCAACCTGTTTGTGTGAGCACAGCAACTTGTGAAGAGCTGCCAATCACAGGTAAGCGGTTTTAGGAGGTAGGGTTGCCTTAAAAGGGGAGGAGCTAAAACAGCTTGTTTCAGACAGAGGATAAACTGAGGAGCTGTATCGAGCTCTGGATTAGTAGTAGTTTCGGGCTACTGGATTTAATTGGTTATGAAAATGTTTCGTGCTGATCTAACTGGTCTCTGTTAATCAAGAGCAGCTACTCTCCTGTCTGCTAACATACCAGCAGTGTAACCTAGGGTGTTTTACAGGTTAAAAATATGTGCAATGATGATGTTTTACAGTAGTCTAAAGTGAAGCAGTGACGGATTGATGCAGGGAGTGGCTTTGGTTAAACACGCACAGACATCTTTGTATTCTGAACGCACAGCAGGGACATGATTTAATTTGTTAGTCTGTATGTGAATAATTGCCATTCTGTAGTTGACAATTAGTTTCCAACCTCTTTGTCTTTTGTCCTCAGCCTGGACCCAGATCAGAAGGAGCAGCTGATCGAAGTGATCGAGAAACTATTGAAAGACAAAAGCACGGTAAGCAGACACAGAGTACCGTAGTGGTTCACAGTACACCTCCCATGTTTGAGAACGAAGACCACTGGAGGGCGCCCCAGTCAAGTGATTCTTCTCTTAGCTCTCCATCCCACAGCTCATTCGGCAATGCCACGGTTTGTTAACACCCACTTAAACCCACACATCTTCAGATGCTCCTTGTTAAGTGTCCATTTGGAAGAAATTTTCGCACTGATGCTAGTGTCAGCTTAATTTTCTCAAAGGCCAGCTTCTTCTTTTTTTCAAATTTTCTCCCAAAATGGACCGTAAATGAGTTGGATTCTCAAATTCTGCAATTTGGCCAATCACAGACACAATGCAGAAGGCGCATTAGAAGTCAGCAGGCAGCGCATTAATTTGACGAGGTCACAGTGAATACTAAGGGTGCTGAAATGCCAATTTCAAATATGTAGACACTGGCTGGAGGATGCAGTGCGTTGTTTGCATGTGCAAATCATGCACAGTTTGTTATAATTATGTATTCATAGAGTATGCCTACCATTATATAAACAAAGCAAAGCAGCTTAGGCCAAACGGGAATGGGGGGGGAGTGGAAGCCCAGTACCAGATGCATAGCATATTTAGCCCCAGACGCTAACGAAGACAGATGACTTCTCCCTGTTGGAGCCCACATTGTGAGGCAGGGGACAGAGAGAGAGGGCACTATCATCACACAGACGCACAAGCACATCAGTCGGTGATGAATGGTGAAAAACCTAAATGCAGTGGATACTGAATAGCTTTCAAGTGAGGCGATGCATTCGACGATGCCATGTAGAATTTACAAGTCCCACAATAATGTCCCAGAGCTGAATCGGTGCCATCAGAGGTTCTTGTTATGTTATATGTAATGGAAAGGATTACTCCTGCTACTACATTCAAGTGTTAGTGTACTAGCTGGATGGCTGTTTTGTGCTGCCTTCAAAAACTTTCTAGGATCCTTGTAAGTGTGAAATAAAAACCCTGATGATGACATCAGTTGTTATATATCAGCTGGATTGATTGTGAATATTTGTTATGTCGGTTCTATTATGAACTCAGCGGTCGTACTTACTTTGGGGTGGCAAAGTATTTTTTAATCCTTGTCTCATATTAAGAAAATATCTCACATTATGACTGCCTTAAGTTTACAAAGGTGAATCTCTCACAAAATACGTGTGGTCCAAACAAACAAATGTGCCGATCTATGATCTTCATCCCTGCTGAAATCTAAAAATGAAAACAAAACTGCAGTTTAAATAAAAGGGAACCGTTTTAACTGGTATGTTAACAGGTGAACACTATTTTCATACAGTTTTGCCAAAAATTAACTGGATATGTCCAAATTTCAAATTACAGACAGCATTAGCTCTCAGCATTAGAAATCTGGACTATTTTGCTTGTCTACTAGAGACTGAGTTGATATATCTCAGCTTTTGCTGGTTTGATTTTCTTCATCAAAATCACATCTGTTGATGTTTGCAGACGTGAAATGCTAATTTTCCAGGCTAGCCTCTCGATAATGTTGCTTATAATATTGGAGAAAAAGACGAGGCATTTGGAGCAGTTGTAGATGACTAAAGATTACATATCTAATTTGTAAAAATAACACAGGCCAGATCGCCATCCTCCGTATGTAATTTTTGCATTTTGTATCATTTTTTTTTATTTTAATAAAAATATCAGCATTTTCAGGAATGTCATTGCTTATGACTAGTCATAACTAGTTCTGGCTTGGATATATGAACATTGGTTGAATATCACATGAATTTGTCAAAACTCCACCTTCTCCTGCTATGAAAAAATGTCATAGTTAAGTTACAAATTGCAGTTTAGAAAAGAGGCCAATTCCCCAAACTGTGTTTGTCACAAGGTGACTGGAAAGGTCACTAATACCTCCTTTAATTTCGCACGTTCCCACGAGATCATGGAAGTTTGCTAAGGAGATGTCCTTGGGTTATTTGTCTTGTTGTCCAGGGTGAAACATAGAGGAGACTGAGCCTTTCGAATAGCTGTTCCTAACCCCCGGTAAACCCCATTCACCAACAAAGACTGTTTTTAAAGACCTGGTTTAAAACTCATTTTAATTCCTTTGCCTGTAAATCAGATCGAGTTTTGATGGGAGTTTTTGCGGATGTTTTTTAACGCTGTATAGCACTTTGATCAATGCCAGTTGTTATTAGATGTGCTTATAAATAATTTGATGAGACTTGACTATAAAGGGTATCCATATGCATTCATGCCTAGACATTTAGGTGTGCTAATGTTTAATGTAGACGAGTCAGCATGTGCAGCAGGGCTACGGATCTGGTTTTACATAACGAAAAACATATTTTGTATTTATAAAGCTATCAAATTTCAGTTTTTAACAACAACTCTATTGGAACCTTACGTTTTTCTGGCAGCTTTTCAGTCAGATTTCAATTTGTTGCACAGTTTTTCTTCTTGTGTCACTACTAAGTTAGCTGTGTGGCTTAAAGCTGTTGAACTGGTATCACAATGGCGTTAGTGGGAGATGGAAGCATTTGGTTATCATTCAGGCTATGGCGTTGTCCAGGCCTGCTGACATTTACCTTTACAGATGTGCCTCTTTGGTTAAATGGCTGTGACACATGTGGTGGTGGGTGGGGGGGCTGCTTATAGGCAGGATGGTTTAAAGAGAAAATGGGAAGGCCTGATGACAGAGACAACACAGGAGTTTGTGCAGCTGTTTTACCGTGATGGATCTATTATCCAGCCATTACAAGATAAATGATCGATCTCTCCCGTCCTCTCCCCCATGCACCTTCTGCAAAATTGAAATGAGAAGAGAAAGGAGGAGCAGTTGGGGGGAGTGGCAGTGGGGGTACTATGATTAGGGGCTAGGTGAGATGCCCATTAATTTAAGAGAAAAAGGAGAGAGGGAAGGAGGGAGAAAGAAGAGAGTAAGCAGAGGGAGGATAGGCCGACCCCACACCGGGCCATCAATCAAAAAGGCGCGCGTTGTCTCTGACGTGATGACCCAGCACTCTGCCTTCCTGGCACCCTAATTAGAATTCATAGCAAAATAGATGCAAGGAAACGGTTTGAGCCCTTCATAATTTTATAGGAAATTTATTGTTATTAGAAGAACCATTTGCTTAGTGTGATTTTTCCATTACCGGCTTGTCATGCAGGGTAGATAATATGGCCGAGGTAGGGGACGGGGAGGAGGTGTATGAACTCCATAGATTGGGGTGTCAGTTTTGTTGATGGTGCATGTAGTTTACCTTGGAGCTGTGTCTAATGGGGGAAGTTGGTAGAGAATGCACAAAGCCTTGCTGCAGGATGCACGTGCTAAGGAGTGTTGCTTTTAATAGCCTCAGAGACAGGAGAGGGTCAGAAGAAGACAAAAATACACACAGACATACTTAAAAATCCATGTTTTACTAAATGCTTTGACTAAGTTAGTCTGCTGTAAAATGTTATTGACACTGATGCTTAAATGAAGGTTGCTGGAAAGATTTATGCTACCGGTCAGACTCTATGAATAGTTTTCATTGGAACGTCTTTCTATATATTACAGTGGTTGTACAAGTGCTTTAAATCTTTTTAAATTCTGAAATGATTGGATAGAAGTGTGATGATTTAATTTTTGTGGCTTTAACTAATTATTTTTTCTTAAAGTTCCATTTAGACTCATGATGATAATAATGATGATGATGATGATGATGATAGGATATAGTGAAACATGGTTTAGGGTTATACTTTCAAACAGATTTTTGTGTGAACTACAATTAAGTAATGGGTGAAACGTTAGGTAAAAGCTAAAGTATAATAATTAGTTTTCAGCAGTTGTTGAAGTCCAGATTCAGTTAACCCAGAGGGCTGATGACAGCAGAAAGTTTAAGCGGTACAACCTCAAAGGTGTGGTTGCCTCTGTATTTAAAACAGATTGTGGACCTGATGATTGAACAGGCTGACTACTGGAAAGAGTTGTCAACAGTTTTGCTATATATACAGGAGCCTGGCATTATAGAACTTTGTACAGTGTATCCGCAAAGTATTAGAAGTGCGTCACTTATTCCACATTTGATCATGTTTCAGCCTTTTTTCCAAAATGGATTAAATTCATTTTTCACCTTAAAATTCTACACAGTGCTGCGAATACTCTCCGGATACACTGATGTAAGTAATAACATTTTAAAATTCTGAATTTCACTGAAGCGTGTGAAGCAGTAATAGGGGTGACAGGAGTATCTGTTGTTTTTTGTTGGCAGCCTAACTGCTGCATTCTGGGTTATTTGAAGACATGCAAAGAAGGACTGAGAAATGCACATGAAAAATGAGTTGGAATAATCAAGACAGGAAAAATGAAAGTTAGAATTATGCATGTGTCTGTGTGTGTTACTAATGGCCTTAGTGCATTAATCACTGTCCGGAGCGCCATGTCATTCCTTGAATATACATAAAATTCCTGTGCATATCATGAAATATAACTATATATACAGCACTGCAGTATAGTAAAACATACTTGTTTGTGTGTGATTTCTCTGGGAATCTACAGACGGCAGCTATGCACATGCACATCTCTCACACTCACACAATCAATGCAGGCTCATGACAGTGCTGATGGGTAAATGCTCTGGGTTCCCACAGGGCCACCAGGGGCCAGAAGGCTTTAATTGGGAAGACTGAATTCTGCTCCCTTTCTCTTCATCTTCACCTGCCTGCGATAATGCTGTTTGCATATTAATACACTGCCGTGTCACTCACTCAGCCTTGCAGTCAGTCAGCGAGGCAGCAGGCAGTTGGGTGATGGTGGGAGTGGAAGGTGAGCAACAGTCAAATGGGTTTTTTCCCTTTACCAATAAAGCATAGTTGATTATTGGATCTCTCAGCTGCTGCTTCCTCCTTGGCTTGCTTTCCACATGAACTGAACACTTATGCTTGAGAAAAACACTCTTACTGATGGGCTTCTCTCAAACACAAAGCAGTAGAAAACTTATGTTTTTAAGTGCAAACAATTTACTTTCAATTATCAACTAACTGCTTACAGGATGAACTGTGTATTTTAATCAAAGCTGTAAATTGCCATTGCTTTTTGAAAGTGCAATTATAATACTTTGCAACCAGGGTCACCTCTGTTAACCAGTGTTTTATTTCTCTAGAGTTTGTGTATATTGCAGCTTGGCCAATTTGCTTAACAAAACAATTTGCTTAACTAATCTATACAACCCTCATTAACTCACATGTTAACAGTGGAGTGAAATAAATGGGGGGAAAAAAAACATTTTCCTCATGAGTTTGCTTCTCTCTGTTCTTTGTTTTAATTTTGATCCTTTCTATAGCTGGTGGCTGGGAGTGTGGTCATGGCTTTTGAGGAGGTGTGCCCAGATCGCATCGATCTGATCCACAAGAACTACAGAAAACTGTGTAATCTGCTGGTGGATGTGGAGGAGTGGGGCCAGGTGGTCATCATCTCTATGCTGACCCGCTATGCCAGGACACAGTTCACCAGTCCCTGGACAGAGGTAAGGGTTTCATGGACCTAAAAGCAATAGTGATTCACATTTGTAAAGTATCAGTTACATAGACTGTATGTAAAAGATGTGCAAAGCCAGTGTGATGCCACCTGCTGATTTTTTTTTTTTTTTTGGACTGCACATTTGTGAAACAGCTGACTGCTGTTATCTTTTTGGAGACAGAAGTTACCATATTAAGACAACAGGGTTGGATTATGCTAAGAAGCTTGGTTAGCACACTGCATCTATAAACTGCATGGGTGCATCACACGGGCACAGGCTATTTAGTGCTATCAAACAGACTAATAACTCTCCTTGTACTTCACACCAAACCACATTACTTGATAGCTATTGCCTTTTAAACATTCTCCAAAGTGAACCATGAGCTTAAATGCACTCGAGATCACCAGTTCAGTGACTTAAATTAGAGGAAGTGAGGCCTAGCAGACAGTTGGCCACAGCTGCCTGTGTCAGCACATCTGTCAAAGTGGTCCGTGCCAAAAATGGCAGTTCCTGGAATAGCCACTTAACACCAGCTCCAAAAGAGAGTCAGTCTCTATAAACATCCAGGTTAAAAAGCATAAATTTAGAGCATTAAAACACACAGTTTAATGGAGTTATCTGACAAATAGTACAGTCCACATGTTTGTGCTTCATTTTTTTTGTGACAGTCTACATTTTAATTATATGATACTTATGAATTAATTGGACATATCTGAGGACATGTACAGTTTATAGATGCATCTCACCAACCAAGCCTGGCACCCTTAGCTGACAACTTAGCACTCCAACAAGACTTAAAAGGCAGTGTTCCTTCAGCTTGAGGGCTGGGCATTTTTAGTTCACAAGAATCCAATAAAAATCATTCATTTTAATTTTGTTAGAGGGTTATTTTTATTAAAATAGTTTTGTGCATTAGTTTGATGTACTATGCTTGTGTTTCAGGGTGCTGAGTTTGATGAGAATAAAGCCTTCTATGACTCTGACTCCGAGGAGAAAAAAGACCAGACAGAAGCAAAGCCTTACATCATGGATCCAGATCACAGGCTGCTGCTCAGGAACACCAAACCTCTACTGCAGAGCAGGAACACCGCTGTGAGTCACTCAAACGCTGACATGTAGACACAAGTTCAGGTTTAACCCTGGGTTTTCATGGTTACTAAGGTGGTCCACATTGCCATGGTAACTCATGCTCCATCAATAAGAATCTGTATTGCTGATTGATTAGCATCAGTGTGAGATGCAGAGATACAGACTGGTGCAGTCTGGCGGTATCTGCAGAAAGATAGGAGGTAAATTTACTGTTTTAGTTTTTGTTAAAACAGTGTCAATTCAATTCAATTCAATTTAATTTTATTTATATAGCGCCAAATCACAACAAATGTCGCCTCAAGGCGTCACTGGTCTATAGTTATATGCCAAGTCTCTATGAAATGAGTTGCGAAAGTTTTATTCATGCAGGCCTGGAGAACAGTCGGTAACAGCTGGTCATTGGGGAAAAGAGTATATTCTGCAACCATTTGATGGGTGGATGCTGAAGGTTGCTGGAAGCATGAAATTGGTGGCAAAGAGGTATACAGTACTGCACCAAAAACCTCTTTGTGATTGCTGTAGTTGTTAAAATATTGCCACAGCAATAATTTACTTACTTTACTTGGAAGGAGAACATTCTTCGTTTCAAGTTTCAGTATAGCTTGGAGAGAATATAGCGAGTGTTTGCAGTGTGTAGGAATTATAGGTAACTGCAGCAGCCTTCTAGCAGCCAAAATGATCATGCAGTGTTTTTCATCTGGAGACAGTGGGCAACATTCAGCAACAATCATCCCTGATCACTTGGGAAGTGAGACCAGAGGTTGCCTGTCACAGACAGACCTCTAGACCTGTGTGATTCAGACGTCAGGCTAACAAACTGTAACACCATCTGTAGAAGCAGTCCCCTCATAAACAAGTTACACATTACATTAAGTTGCTACATTCACACATTATTATGGCACTTTTTTAATGGTATGCAAACATGCATAGACTAATAAGACTGTTTTTAGTCGAATAAACACACATCCAAAGTTGATGGAAATAGTAGGAAACGCAGCGTCTCTTTGTGTCTGTTGCATCACATCAGCTAATGCTGTTGTAACCCTGGAAGGACACATTTATGTGCAATAACACATTCACTCAAAGTACTACATACAAAGGACACGCCACACACACAAAGACACGAGAATACCTGTCTTAATGCGCCACACAAGCCTGAATAAAAGCGATAAAAACCAGAGTGAGTGCGGGTCTCCATCATCCAGGAGCCTCAAGGTCTCTGTCGCTATGTAGCAGCGGGAAGGAAAAATGCTCCCAAATGAAAGTGTTGATTAAAATGTGACATGCTGTGTCTTTACTCACGACAACACGGTGACATCCTCAATCTTCATAGACGCCCGAAGCCTCTCATTGTGCCTGCAACGACGGACACACGTCCTCCTGCTATTTAAAGCGCTCCTGAAAAATGACTTTTAGAGTCTCTTTGAGAGTGCCGGTGTAGAGCCTGAGCAAATGCATGTGAAGGAAGATGATTTTAGTGTGAGCAGACAGAAAGTAACAAGTTTGTTTTAATAAGATGCTGTAAGATAATCTACTTATTATCTTACTGGGTTGATATTTTTAGGTAGTGATGGCTGTTGCTCAGCTTTACTGGCATCTGGCTCCTAAACACGAAGTCAGTATTGTCACCAAGTCACTGGTTCGACTCCTGAGAAGCCACAGGTAAAAAAAAAATAAAAAAATACATATATATGTGTGTATATTTATACAGCATTTGCGTATTTGCTGCTAGTGTCTATGTCCATGTCTGTCTTCTTGCTGTTGTGTGCAGAGAAGTGCAGTACATTGTGCTTCAGAACATCGCCACGATGTCTATACAGAGAAAGGTGAGTGCTCATGGATAGCAGAGGGATGAGAGTGTGTTGGGTTGATGCAGCCTGTGTAGTAACACGAGTTCTCTTCAAACAGGGGATGTTTGAGCCCTTCATTAAGAGTTTCTATGTGAGATCGACAGATGCCACGCACATCAAAACACTAAAGGTAGCCCCTGTTTTATTTTCTGCATTATGTACATATAAGCTCAAATAAGAATACTGAGCTTAGTATTATGTGTAATAGTATAATATTATGTACATTTAAATACTGCCATATTGGCTTTTGAGCCCCTTTGACCTTTTCGTGAACCTAACAAAAGTCACCTTTCTGTTTATGATTTTTCCAGTTGGAGATCCTGACCAATCTAGCTAATGAAGCTAACATCTCCACAATTCTGAGAGAATTCCAGGTTTGTTGTTTTCTTTGTGTGATAAGATGTGTTACCTACTTTCCAATTGGGGTATTACACTAAGTACATCTGATCTTTCTTTTTTTTCCCCAAGACCTACGTGAAGAGTCAGGACAAGGCGTTCGCAGCAGCTACCATCCAGGCCATCGGCAGGTGCGCTACCAACATCTCTGAGGTGACGGACACATGCCTCAACGGTCTGGTGTTGCTGCTTTCTAATAGAGACGGTAAAAAGCCCCCACTGAATAGTTACCTGAGTCCATATTTGCACTTTGAGCTCGTCATTAGAGATGTCGGCTCTGTCCAGTTTTGTGAAGACTTGTTTCGGTTCTCCAGAGACCGTGGTGGCCGAGAGCATCGTGGTCATCAAGAAGCTGCTTCAGACTCAACCCACTCAGCACGGTGACATCATCAAACACATGGCCAAGCTCTTCGATAGCGTCACTGTACGGTTCATGATTGTGCTGCTTGTGAAAGTTATCACTGGAGCATTGTGTCTGAAATAACACTGTGACAGGTGCTGCTCTTTGTCTCTGATATGTCACCCTCAACTGCAGGTTCCCATGGCCCGAGCCAGCATCCTGTGGCTGATGGGAGAGTACTGCGAGAAGGTGCCAAAGATTGCGCCCGATGTACTGCGCAAGATGGCAAAGACGTTCACAGCAGAGGAGGACATCGTCAAGCTGCAGACTGTCAATCTAGCTGCAAAGCTCTACCTGACCAACTCTAAGCAGGTGCAAAATAAGACATGCAGAGAAAAATCAAGGCTCTGTGTGTGTGTGTGTGTGTGTGTGTGTGTGTATGTGCGTTTACAGAGCTTTATGTGCGAATAGTTGCAACTCATTGCTAAATACCCATTTCAAATACAGAGCTGTGAAGCAGTTTTAATGTAATGCATCTTCTAGAGCCACTTGGTGTCTGCAGACCCATTGAGTCAGATGAGGTAAAATTGGTGTGTGAGGTGATTTTATGAGCCCAGACGCTGCCTTCTCAAAGCACATTATCACACCTCTTGCTCCTTGTAATGACAATTCAGTAAAAGATTGGGGCGATAATGCTCCTGTCGTGACAGGAGCAGATTTTGTTTTTATGTCTACCTAAATCATTTATGTTGGTGCAAGTGCTCTGTCTCCCTGTGCTTGGGTGAGACGGGGGTTTGAAGTAAGGATCCTAGCCTTGTGGAGAAGGAGATGCCTGTTGATGAGCGACACTCACATTTGCTCCTGGCTCAGTTCAGCTGGTTGTACACCAGGTTTGCATCATCACTGAAAGGGTTCATTGATTTCTAAAGTGTTAGTTGGATGTTATGGAAACGTGTCTGCTTTATGCTTTTTTTTAATTTATTTTTAACTGGTTTCATCTTCCTCTTAAATACTTGAATTGTTTCCTTGACATTTTTTGTTGTGCTTGACTTTTTCAAATATTCACAACCTAATGGTCTGTCTTGGGTTGGTCTCCCTTCAAGTTTCTAATCTCGGGGGGACCTGCTGGTCATAAGTACATAAAGCATTGAAACACCCACACTTTTGTCCCCAGACCAAGCTGCTGACCCAGTACATCCTGAACCTCGGCAAATACGACCAGAACTACGACATCAGAGACCGAACACGATTCATACGGCAGCTGATAGTGCCCAACGAGAAGAGCGGTGCGCTCAGCAAGTACGCTCGACGCATCTTACTGGCCCCCAAACCGGCTCCAGTGCTCGAGTCTGCCTTCAAAGGTACTTTTAAATACCTTTTCCATTTTCAGATTAAATTTCATTCCTCTCCCGCATCACTGAATACATATTAGCTGCTCATCTATTTCAAACCTAGTGGCTCTATTTCCTGCAGTATGCAAAGTTGATTCAGGCTGAGGTTTTATTATTCTGCTGTGTGTGTGTCTCTCTGAAGGGCAGTTAGGTCAGAAACCTTTACCTCACACTAATGAGATGGGTAAATTATTGAGCTCATGCTAACCTTTTTTCCGGCTTTCTCATTTAGCTGTCTTTTCTTTCTCTCCCCCCGCTTGACACCAGAGAAAAGCTGCCTTCCACAACATTAAAATTCCAGCTCAGTTTGCACTTACTGGATGTTTATGAATGTGTTAATGGCCTCTGTCATTCTTAATATTCAGAAGTAGTCCTTTTTTGTGGTGGGCAAATCACACCTCCCATAGCACACGCACTGATTGTCTTCTTGTGCCGCCCTTTGGAAAGGCAGAGCAGGGAGTGTGATCACGTGTTATCATAGACAGAGAGGTGACGGTGCTTGGTGGAGAAGATGCCACTATAAGCTGTTTCCTTCATTTAGAACACAGTGAGGTCATTGCTGCCCCGTCCCATTTCTCCACCACTTATTAAACTTTTTTTTAAAAAACTTTTTTATTTTTTTCCCATAATTTTCCTTCTTGATACTTTCAGATCGAGACCGTTACCAGCTCGGCACTCTCTCCCACAGTCTTAACCTTAAAGCCACTGGGTACCAGGAGCTCCCAGACTGGCCTGCTGTTGCTCCCGACCACTCTGTGAGAAACGTGGAGATTGTTGAACCAGTAAGAAATCCACCTTCCTAAACGTCTTTACACACCAGATGTGTAAAATTCAGGAGACTATTTTACGCATTAAAAATGTTTTTTTGGACTCACTTATATTTAATGCTGTCATTTTTTGTTGTGTTTTTCACAGCGGGTTTTTTGAATACAAATTTTCTGCAAAAACACAACACACTGAGTGTATATGTTACATGACAAGTTTAGATGTGAAAAACTTGGAGTTTCGTGTTGCTTTTTTGCCTTTTACACACTCCTCATCATATTTGCAGTATTCAAGATGTGTAAAGAAAAACGTGAGCCAAATCAGACATTCAAAACTAGCTCAAATGTGAGGAAACTCATGCCCTTAGGGGAGGAAAGTGAATGCACCACATCTCAGTCCTGATTCTAGAAGTTATAGGCTCTCTGTTAACATTATGAAGCATTTGTCAGGAAAAAATGAAAAGATCATTGGTTTTACCTCCAACTATTACTTGGCTGACTGGAGTGGAACTCCAAACTGACTGTTTTTAAAGGTGACAAGTTTTGCTAATTTCCAGCTGCAAATCTTTATTCTTGTTTTCAAATTACACTTCAAAGTAATTCTCATTTGCTGCATACTTGGCCCTTGTGCAGCACCTTAGTTTATTCTGTGAGGCTTTATGAAGTGGTGCATTTTTCTCATTTTTCTCACATTTCATCAGTCAACCAATGACTGAGCAACACAGAAAATATAGAAAAGAAAACGTAGAAAAGATTTATTTATATTTTAAGCATGATCATTTACAACCTTTATAGAATTAAAGATCCTTGTGTTTAGTTTAGTTTTTTATTTTGTGAGGGACATTATTGCTTTAGCATTTTCTCTCAGGTTTATCACTGTTACTTTGTGTGTCTCCTGATAAAACAATAAGCAGCGATAAATCGGTGGTGTCAACAAACTTCAGCAGAAACATATTTGGGGATATGGTGGTGACGACATACTGCTAAAAACTCCTTTAATTGAAAAAGCCACTGCTGGTTTTGCTTAATTGAGTACATTTAGGAAGCCTGTGTGGAGTGACCAGCAGCTACACAATGTGCAAAATGTGAACATGCCTCTGTTACGTGTTAGGAATCAGATTTTTATAGATTCTAACTCATCCTTAAATTGCAAGGCTTGGATTCTGTAGTTTAACTGGTCCATCTTCCCTCTGCTGTGTCCATTTAGCTGAGAGAGTCGGCACCAATAGTTGGGAAGACCAAACAGCCTAAATCTGATGACAAGTTCTACTCAGATGATGAAGACGAGAAAGAGGAGGAAGAATCCGACAGCAGCGGCAGTGGAAGTGAAGACAGCAGCAGCAGTGAAGGTTTGTTTCTGCCTGTCCGATTTAAAGTTTCTGAGACTTTCTCCTTTTATGAGGCTAAGTTAATGTTGTTGGTTATTAGCATAACCAACATTAGCATGACTGGTTGATTTAGTGACACACTCATTATTTGAGGCCATGATCTGACTATCCTGCACGGGGCAAAGCATATCAAAGTTTGGTATCTTGTTTAGAAGCTGGAGGTGTAAAGCACAGCAAAATTTTCACTGCATTAAAACTTTCTGTGTGTTTGGTTCTGGATCCATCCATCCATTTTTACATTTTTACCATTTATCAAATCAAACCTGAGATGCAGGATCAGCAGTGTTGTAGACACAAGCAAAACAGAACACACAACATTTTACTAAGCATAATAACATTAAACTATACAGATTTGTTAATGTGTTTTCAAAACTGTTTGATTTTAGAAATGTGTCTCTAATTTTATCCTTCCGTCTATTTTTCTGATGTTCATCCAGGTCTGGTTAACTGATCATTTTGAGAATTTACAAATTTGAGCTGAACAACATTTGATGTTGTTGTGCTTTTGGTTTGGAATATATTAGTGTTGAGCAACAGTCATTTCAGAGTCATGATGATTGACAAGCTGTTAGCCAGTGAAGTTTTAGATCCATCCCTCATTGATCCCGTGCAGTTGCAAAACAAAGAAGAAATTAAGACCATAAGTAATATGAAAAGAAAATTTCAGCAAAGAATAAAGTCTGATTTGTTTTGGGTTTAATATGTACAGAATCGGGCAGTGAGAGCGAGGAGGAAAGCAGTGAGGATTCAGAGAAGACCTCCAGTGATTCTGGAAAAAGCTCCAGTGGATCTGAAAAGAGCTCCAGTGAGTCTGAATCAGATCAAAAAAAGAAGAAAAAGACCAAGAAAGCACCGCAGAAGAAAAGCAAGCCTGCTGGTGACAGGTACACTGAAATCCCTGCTGTCTGTCACAGTCTGAAAGCATAATTTTTCTTCCCTGCAAAGGCGGCGTGTCCAGATGTTACCTGCGTCTTTCTCTTCTTCTCTTTCTGGCTTTGCTAATTAAGCAGGTGTGTGTTTGCCAGAAACACGTAGTCAGCAACAAATGTGCCCACGATTCTGCTGCATCCGAGCAAACTCCATCTGTTGAAAGATTCAGCAGTTTATATTATTCATCACAGCCCACTCACAGTTACAGTTCGTAATGCTCAGTTGTAGCTTTCCTCCACTAAACCCCTCAGACTTGATATGTCAGGATTTACATTTGCACCTATAGCGTGGATAGAGGATGCAAAATTTGCTCAATCACATTTAAAAAAGGACATTGAAAACAAAATGTGACAATCAGAAAATGTTGTAAAATCTCAACTTAAAAAAAGGTATAGCTGTATTCAAACTGGCATGTTTATGGATTTATGGATGGGGTCTTTGTCTCATCTACTTCTAAGATATGCGGGGGGCATGGAAACTAAATCCAGTGGATCTCTTAGAAGGAAAAAACCAAACATTATAATGGTCTGTAGCTACGCAGCCCCATACACAACCAACTGTACTGCACGGTGTATTTTGACATCTTTCTGTCAAAACCAGCATGAACTTTTTCTGCAGTTTGAGCTGCAGTAGCTCCTCGTCTGTTGGATCGGACAACACGGGCCAGCGACCTTGGCCACCCATGACTGTATTTTGTGGGTTTTTTTTAGCACATTTCCTTGGATCAGTTTTCATAGATACTGACCACTGCAGACTAGGAACACCTGACGAGAGCTTTGGAGAAGCTCTGATCCAGTCGTCCAGCCATCACAATTTGGCTCTTGTCAAACTCTGAAATCTTTATGCTTACCAATTATTTTCTGCTTCTAACACATCAACTTTGATAACAAAATGTCCACCTACTCCCTAATGTGTCCCACCCATTAGCAGGTGCTAGATGAAGAGATGATCAGTGTTACTCACGTCACCTGTCAGTGGTCAGAATCCTTTACCTGATCGTTTATGTTTCTAGTTAAAGTCTTCTGGGAGATTCACATGGAGGGAAAAAAACATCATACACACCTGTAACACTCTACACCAACCATCTCACACACACACACACATGATGGCAGCACTGCTGGAATATTGTTAGCGCGAGTTCCATTAACAAGCTAATCAATGAGAATTTTCCTCCAGTAGCGTAACCCACATTTACATGGCTAATGGATAATGACTTTTGATTGGTCATTTAACAGCCCGGTGTTACCAGTGAATGAGATTTGAGTCATTACTACTGAGTATGCTCACGTACACTCTCTTACACACTAGCAAATTTAGTTTCTTATGCACTCTACTTCATTTGCTCATGGACACACAAACTCACACCGAATGTACCTGATTTCACTGTGTGACAGGCCGGCGGCTGACCCTGTTCTCTCCATTAGAGAGTATAATTAGAGCAACTCACCCCAGTGCTCAAACACACACAAACACGCGCACACACACATACACACGGTAATTAGAGCAGCTCACCCCAGTGCTTCCACAACAAACACAGCATAATGCCCTCATTATGGCCCAGTCATTTCAGGCAGGGCCTAATCAGGCCCACAGTGATTTATATCACTTTTTCCTGTTCGCAGCAAATGAAATCTGTAGGCCAAATTAATACTGGCTTTTCATCATCGCCCAAGTTAAAAAGCCAGTTACCGTCACAATTCCCCTCATTAATTTAACGGCTGAAAATCCCAGGCAGGCGGAGTAAACACTCATTATCGGGACAAATTGAAGAGGGACAGCAAGACTGAAAGAGAGAGGAGAAAGATGGAAAAAATCTTTTTGAGTAAATGCAACATTGAATTAACTTCACAAACAAAAACAGATTGATCTTTGTTGTTCTAATCGGGGCTGAAGCTTTCAAGTTGGATGGAAAATAGGAAAACAATAGCACCAAGTTTGTTTTATTTGTTGGTTTCCAGACTGTTTCATATTATGGAATAAATTAATATTTTACTTTTAAGAAATAATGAAGAGTGTTGCTTTTTTTTTTTTACTGTGTATTCTCTGACTACTAAGCTCATTTTGTTTTCTTCTTCAGTGACTCTGATGAAAATGGCAATGGACCTGTAGGCCAAGCTAGCAGCTCATCCTCTGAAAGCTCCTCAGACTCTGAGTCGGACTCTGAGTCGGACTCTGGGTCAGACTCGCCCGCACCCAAGAAGAAGACTGAAGAAAAGGCCAAACCCAAGGTGACGATATAATGCATGGATGAAGTGGGCGTATTTGGATTTAACTGCGAGTGAGAGTTTCTAACTTTGAGAACAGAGGCTGCCAACAGCATCAGTGCAGTTCCACCAAAAATAAAATGCATTTGCTTTTTCCAAAGAAGAAGTTGTTTGCAGTTCGTTGATCTGTCGTTTCAGGCTGGATCAGATGACCCTCAACTACTGCTTTGTTGTACAAGGTTGAGGCTGATTCTGCCCACACCACTTATCTTCTGTTGGACAGTAGCGCATGCCAAAAATCATGTCGCATCCACTGGCACGCACCACTGGCATGCACCACTGGCATGCACCACTGTTTTCTCTTGGCTTTTTATTACATGATTATAGGATTACTGGGGATCTCTCTGTGTCATTGCAATATCTCTAAATTGAATGCATTTGAATTGAACTTCAACTTATTGATCGCTGTAGTTGCACACGTTTGCAATAATGGCCTTGAATCAGTGTCTTTGTAGAACTTCTTAGACTATTAAAAATACACATTATAAATGAAATTTAAGGGGAGAAAGAGGCATTATGCAGTGCTAAAGAGAAGATAATGGTATAAAACAATACAGGAAAACACACCTTTGTCACATTATAATGTATGATATTGTACTATATTTACAATGCATAATGTCTAAATCAGTATAGAGTATGATATTAGGATAATGGCCCTGCTCTGCTTAGCCTTCTAAATATTAATGTGCAGTTCTCGCAGCGAGTTTTTGTTCTGTAGGTGCACAAGAGCTTCTAAATCAGGATTTATACCTTGGGATATGATTTGGCTCCACTATACCACCTTTTGTTTTTTCCCTTCCAGCCTTTCATTTGGCCCCTTTCAGCCCTTACAATCTTTTTCTTATCTGTTTTGCTCATCACATTATTTCTCGCCCTCCGTTTGCTTTTCTGCGCTATGAAATTCTCATTTCATACACTTTGTCATTTGGGCATGGCTTATGAATTATGCATCTCTACCTTTCTTTCTACACCTCTCTCTCTCTGTCTGTCTTGCTCTATCACAACACCCTTTAGTAACAAGGTTTCCGTCTCTATTACCACCACCGAGCGTCAATCAGAGAAAATCTGATAAGATACGGCCTCTAACTTTATGGTTTGTTTTCACTCACATCACATTGGTTTTTTTCCCCCCCTCCCTATCTGCTCAGCTTGGGCTATGCAGTGTGGAATTTTATGGCTCTTTATGCAATGTGAGTGGTGCCAGGTTGGTTAGTAGGGTATGGAGAAGGAGCAATAAAAACCCTCTTACGTTTAAGCACTGTTTTATTGTCAGCACCGTACAAGCCTGACTCAGTTGCAGAGGGTGGTGAGTAGCAGTTGTGACTCAAAATGACATGTGACCGGTCACTGAAAATTCCAGACAAGTTACCCGTGAACGTGGGATGAATGTGTTCAGAGACACTGTTGGTGAAATTGAAATTGAAACCATCATGTTGTTGTGCTTTCTTTTTAGGTGGCAGTGAACTCCAAGAAGGAAGTCTCTTTACTGGATCTAGATGACTGTGAGTTTTCCTACAGTTTCCGCTTGCATAAACTCACATTAACAAGAGCAGCAGGCTTCACAAAAAAAGCTCTGATGTGTATTCTATTTCCCCACCGCCCAAAGTAGCAAGCAGACATAGATGATCAAGTCCTGGTGAGGAGAACTGAATTGTATCAGTTAGAGGTAGAGAAAATATTGGACTTGCATTAATCGCTTGGCTAAAAATAAAGTCCAGTTCATTGGAGAACTGTAGTGTAGGCATTGCCGACATCACGTTAGAATTTGTAGTAGAGTTTAAATATTTAGAACGTGTGGACCAAGAGGCGGAAACCTCCGCTGAAAAAATGAAGTCAGAGTGCCAAAAACTGCAGTTTAGTTCACACACTCCCAACTTTGCAGCATGGAAAAGCCTTTTTAACTGTATAGATAGTTTCCCACCTCATAACAGCTCTGAGTGAGGTGAATTTATGTATAACTTGTCCATCTGGAGGATTATGTCCAGATGTCCTGACACAGGCAGCTGCAGCTGGTCGCTATCATCTCACCTACTGAGTCACTGACCTGCAGCCCTCTATTTTGCACCTTTGAAGCATCTTAATGGATTGTCTTGCTAATATTGTATCTTGCTGTGAGGTAAAGACCGCCCAAGAAGTTTTAGCTTCAGGTCTGTAGAATGAAATTCGAGTGTTTTATTGGTCTATTACTTTGCACTAATTAGCTGATATGTGTATATGTCTGATGCATCTGCACAGTTTATGGAGACAGCTTGCTAACCAATTTTCCTGGAGTTATTTGATAAATCGCTTCTCCTCCAAATGAGATCATCTCTGGCTCCAAAAGCTAACAAAGCATTGAGGTTTCAAGATGTGGTCCATCTTTTATACTCTCTATGGTGTGGGACTGTATTTAACCATATAGATGTCAGTTCATGTATCGGCTTACAATTTGTAGGTAATCATCCTGTAGAAAACCTTTGCTGACACTCATCTCACAAGTCCGTGCACACATTTGCTGCACATTTATCTGTGACTGATGCAAACTATCAAATATAGAAAGCAAAAATGTCATTAACTTCTGTCTTGGACATAACTCAGTATCTGTGGAACTCAAGGGAGGCATAAAAGACGAATGCTTACAGGGATTTGTAGGATGATGATGGAAAAGAGCTCTAAACTTCTTGTTCATTTCTTCAGTGGCAAAAAAAAATTCAGAGTGTTTACAGTTCCAGCTTCCAAAATCAATGCAAAGTAAAACACCACAGTTTTTATGTGATATTAAAAAGTGCCGTTCAGCCTGTGTGGAACAGGAGAATCACAGTGTGAGGAGTAGTTTATGTTAAATCCCGTCGAACTCCAACAATGGCCTTTCAAATGCAAAATGCCTTTAGTTTAAAACCGGCTTGTAACCTGCAGATTGTGTGTCTAACTCTGCATCCAGATAATCTTCATGTTTTGGGGTTTGAATCAGGTTTTCCTAAATTACTTTTTGACACAAGAACCCATGACCCTGTTGACATTTATATCAGTATGACTGCTCACATTCAATGCTGAAATATTTTTATACGTCAGTTTGTTCTGACATGTTGTGACGTGACTTAATAATAACACCGGAGTAAAAGTTAAACAGCCTTCAGTTGCTTTCTTTTGTCATAAAGTATTATTATTATTAATATTGTAATTATATTTTTAAAAGTAACTCTGTGTGCAACATCGCTGTAGTAGCTTTAATAATCTTTATGTTGTTGTTGTTTTCTTTGCGCTCTTTAGTTTCTCCTGCACCCACCAACGCACCAAAGCCTTCTGTGCTCTCTCAAAGTCTGCTGTCCGACCTCGAAGGCCTTTCTCTCTCCAACATCACCTCCACTGTGCAGGTTAGTGTGTGTGTGTGTGTGTGTGTGCGCATGCGTGTATTAGATGCACACAGGCTGACATTTCCTCCATCAATGTGCGTTGAGAGTCAGTCGTTCCTTTCTGTCTGACACTGACAGTACAGCAGAGCAGCATATGAGATGGTGAAATGAGCCTCACTCCCTTGTGGAACATTTCTGCTCCAGACGCCAACTATTGACCTTTTCTGCCTTGTTATATTTATAGCCAGTCAGGATGGTCCAACAGCTCTCGCTGTTTCCTGTATCTCTTATAGTCTGTCTTTCTCACCGTCACTGTCTTTTGCACTTCCACACCCTTGATCTCTATTTCTCTCTCGTCTCTGAGTCCATCCCCTCGGTCTCTCTCTCTCTCGCTCTCTCTCGCTCTCTCTCTCTCTCTACCTTATTTCTCTCCTCCTCCTGTGTCACCTTCCATCTCTCTCTGTCAGATGTTGTGTCCCTTGTGTCCTCATGTTGTGTATATTTGATGGTTGACCTTTCCCAGTGTGACGGCTCCTTTCTCTCCTCAGTATATGAGCGACTCTGCATGTCTGTGTATTTTGTATCTTGTCTCCCTCCTGGGAGGGAAATGTCCAGACTATTCTTTGTGCTGTTGCTGTGTCTTATTTTGTGTCACAGCTGTATGGAAACTCTGTTCTTTGACAATGTCACATCAGAAGGTTAGAATCTAATTGAGTAGTTTTGTTGTTTGTGGGCTGTGAGTAATGATTATCGTTCTAATACAAAGCTATTTATTGATTTCAACCTTGTAAGCATGGCATAGCTTGCATTTCCCAAAGATATTAGTTGGTGAAATAAATAACAGATAATCTATTAATGTTTTTTTTTTTCTTCAGTAATGAATTCCTTAAACTGCTTAGTTGTTGTTATATTTTATTACTTCAGTGTCTAGTTCCACTTGTTTTTGGGGGTTTTTCTCAAGCAGAAATAAAATCTCAGAAACATTAACAGAGGAGATGTGTGCTGACAGCAGGATCTGTATCTGTGGAATGGACTGAATTGAAGGTATAAGTGTGAGGGTGAAAACGCATCAGGAGGGAAGAGATAGGAATGCAATCAAGTCGAAAACTGTTTATTTTATAGTCATGTTCATGGTAGTCTTTTTTTCCCCCTGTATAACTTCTTTGTACATGCAAAGGGTAATTTACTACTTCAAAAAAAGCTGAAGCTGAATTACCTGAAATTTCTAGTCTAGGTGTTTTCCCCCATTACTTCTTTGCCACTATAATCCATTACTAGAAGCTCTTCTACTAACTAACAATTGCTTTTTGCTCACTTTTGTCACCCTCACCAAAAGTGACGTCAAAACTGCTCAGTGTGCTTTAGTGTCATTTCAACTTGTCATTCACAGTTTTTGTCCCAGCTCAAAGACGTGAGCATGATTTTTGTCGCACTTTACTGCGATTTCAATGACAGGAGCTCAGAGATTCTCACGTTACACAGGAGCAGAACAACAGTGAAAAAAGAGGAGACAGTCTGGTGAAGACTTTGAAAAACAAAAAAACAAAAACAAAAAACAGTTGCTGTGCTTCCTGTTTTGACTTCTTCTTGCATACAGTGCTGATACAGAGGTTTTTATGTGAGTGGTGAAACCTATTGTTCATGAGAAGACTGCAGTGGGCACTCTGGCACCACAGCACCACAGTTCGCACGCAACACAATGAATACAGTGACCGTAATCGAGGCATAAAATAACTGTATAAATGTAATTTGTTGACTATAAACGTGAACCCCGACTCTTCCT